TCCTAAACTTTAACTGAAATGATTATGGAACTTTACATGAACGTTTGTGTGATAAAGTTTTAACCTTATGTATTATTGTTTTTTCATAGCGGACCTCACAAATAATGGGTTGTTAAGAACCATTACCATTCAAAATTCTTGTTTTCTCCATACATTTTCGAAAAGAGAACTATATTAGAACGTTTTTACTTATGGTTTGAGAACATTAATGGTTATGGTTATGATAGTCAGTAAGGTCCATTAATGGTTTTGTATTATCGCTCAACTTTACGTGGAATATATCGTGAATTGGTCATCAGTAATTTACAGGCAACCAATTCGCGATATATTCCACATAAAGTTGATCAATGTTACAAAACTATTCATGGACCTTACTGACTACCATAACCATAACCATTAATGTTCTCAAACCATAAGTTAAAATGTTCTAATATAGTCCTCCTCCCGAAAATTATGGAGAAAACAAGAATTTTGAATGGTAATGGGTCTTAACAACTCATTATTTGTAAGGTCCGCTTCCAAAAAACCATAATACATAAGGTTAAAACTTTATCATTAAACCACAGACAAACAGACGTAACACCTCATTGTGTATCTTCGTTCACGCATTTAACGGTTGATTTGAATATTATAAGTTCCGCGAACTACTCGCCGCAGCGCTGGCATCGGATAACTTTGACGTTTTTATACATTCTATAGAACTTTTATGCAATATTGTTTGCGAGTTGGCGAGCAAGCTTGTTTTCCGCGAGAAGCCCGAGAGATGTCGTTACTGAGGTCCTATGTTTTTACATACTATGTTTGCAAGAAAAACTGTTTCTAAGAGTTACGTCTGTTTGTCTGTGATTAAACGTTCTTGTAAAGTTCCATAACCATTTCAGTTGAAGTTTAGTAGGGATTATAAACAATTTTTAACCATTTTTGGTAAGGTCAATTTATGGTTCGCGTTTAAGCGGGTTGCTTCAATTATATTTTTTCATTGAAAGGGAAGGGTCGAAAATATAGTCAAATTATATTTTTTCAAAATTACAATAGCTTGAGAACAATTAGAATTATGGCAAAAGATAAAATTGAGTGCTAAGACAAAACTTCTGTACGTGATTTGGAGGTGCACATTGTTTAATCAACATAAAAAATAAGCCGTAGCTCAATTGAATTGCAATCAGCATGAATAAATAATTTTAAACACTTGTAGGATGCTTTTCATGTGGCATGCACTACATTTCTACGAAGATTGTCCTATACTTTTTCAATTCCTTCGTGTAGTCGGATTATCGAGGCGTTGGATTAACTAGGTGCGAATTAAAGGTGGGATAATGCGTTTTCTTTCCCAATAACCATTTGGAATCGATTTTATGTTTTCTTTTTCAGTTATATACATTAATAATGATTTACTTACCAAGATGGTAAATGTGAACGTCTCCTTCATCGTCAGGTACAGTCACGTTTATCACGAAAACCGATTTGCCGTGACGCGTTGCAGAGTCCATTTTCAAGCAAATGAGCTTATTATGGAGTAACCCGATAAGTTGTTTTCGCATTATATCCGCTGCCCGACTAACGAGGTGCGGCAGAGTATTCCGTGTTATTTTTAAACTCACTGCATCCCATGTTGGTTCATTCAACAATTTAATTGCCTTCCATTCCGGATAACAAAAAGGCAAATTGTTCTCAGCAACCAACATTAGTGGTCCAAGAAGTACTCTCTTCCTTTCTCGGTTGCCCATCCCCACTTACACTAGCACTACGTTCACTTTGCGAAAGCAACAATCGACGAGCCACATCCGGGTGGATTGTGAGGAAATGTCGTTTGAAATTAGAGGGAATAAGCGTTGCTTTTTCAAACGGACACCGTTTATCGCTATCGATTTCCACCAGCCACTTGTATTTTATATTTTTATACGCTCCCGCCATTTCTTCCATCTCGTCACTAATTTCTTTCCACAACGATTCACGGCCTTAACGACTCATCGTGTTGAATCAACTATTCCCGTTCGCGTTGAAGAATAAACTAAACGCATCTTCATGAGGATCAAAGCATGAGCATCGCGATGATGCGAAAAACCATTCGCATCGTCATGAAGACTAAAACATGCGAAGAACGCTCTCCACCGCTCGCGATGTGAACGATGAACCGAAGAAGCGCACGCTGCACGAAGATTTGAGTGGTGCATCGACACTCACACTCCTCTCTCATCGAGCATTCTTTACGATTTGCTTTTATGTGGGCATCCACATCATTCAAGAGTTTTGCTGAGATACCGATGCTTCGAGTACCGTCGCACACGATGAACGAATATGAGAGAAAAGAAGCGAATTTCAGTAACCTTGCACACAAGTATAGGGCTAGAAGTATAGAGAAGTAGAATAAAGAGGAGTAGAAATACAAACAATCACAACAAATCCGCAAAAGCATGCTTTAGTTTAAATACAATAAAAATCAACTTACCGTTTTCCGTTGTAAATAAATGTTTTGATTCGAAATCGATGTTATGTTGTTGATCAGTCCTATCAAATATTAGAATGAGAGGAAGAAAGTATTTTTACGTTGTTTCGGGTCCGTATAATTATGTTGTTGTCTTCCGCGTGGTCCGAATTTGACTGTTATGTTGCGTACCTCTTTTGCTGCGGCTGCGCCTCTGGCGGAATTTAAGTGGCGCTTAAGCCGCAGGCTTAACCTAGATCGGCCAGTGTCGGCTACAACACTTTGAAAAAGTTTTTCTTGAAAACATTGTACACTGAAGTCTTTTTTGTACGGTTTTTTTTACGCGGTTTTTTTTACACGGTTATTTTTACACGGTTTTTCACGATTTACACGGTACGTTTTTAACGATTTCTCGACAACGATACAGCCTATCAACTTGATTTCAATCACATTATCCGTTTCAAGCTATAGGTAATCGAATGGCATACTTAAAAAAAATCACAATTTTTGGTGTCAATACAGAATTTTTTTTAAATATGCCTATATGGACTATAGCATGCTATAATTACAAATGGCATCAAAGTTCGATTTTTTTTTAAACATTTAAGCATGTGAAAAATCTAAATCTCGTAGGTTTTTTTTACACGGTTTTTTTTTACACGGAAAATATATACATATATGTATATACATATATATATATACGTTAAACCTCACCATAGGGGCCAGGGGGAGCCATAGGGGCCAGGCTTTCCCGTAGAATTACCTAGTTTCCAGGCCGTTACCATCCGGAGGACTTTTGCTGACAGGATAGATTCAGCGAACAAAACCATTTGGAGCAGCCGCAACGAGTTTAGTCTAAGTTGTGATTCAAAGTTAAGGGTAGTGAATAAATTTTAGTGAATAAAATTATTTTTTTTATGATTCCGAGAGTGATCACAGCATAACTGGCGCAGTCGACGGCAGTGAGTGGAATTAGTGAGTGCGATTTTTTCTAAGTGCAAATCAAAAGACTTAGTGCAAAAGTGAGCGCTGAGAAACAAGAAAAATTACAAGTCCTAGCTGAAATTCGGACTTAGTAAAACAAACTAGCAGTGACTTTCAAAAGATATCACAACTCGAAGCTAAGATCAATATAATATGAATATAAGTGAAGTGACAGTGAACTTTTGGAAAATATCACAAACCGAAGCTGATCTTAGTGAATATAAGCGCAGTTTCAACCGAAAGCGCTTGGAAAAGGAGCCAACTCACGAAATACCAGCAACCCGAGCAACGTTCATTGAGAACAACCGGACCACCGGCAGAGCCACAGGTGAGAGTATATCATCCAGTTTGCGTGATTCGGAGCGAAGGTGAGGACCCACTCACATCTACCTACTACCTACCGATGCACCTTAGACTCCAGAGGATGCGGATAGAAGCACTTCTGTAAGTAACAACCCTTTTTTTTTTTTAAAAACCAACCTTACAAAACAAAAAGTGATCACTAACGAAAGTGAGAGTGCATATCTCATTTCAAATCGAAATTTATCTATAAAAGCTTGCAAATTTCAAGTGAGAATTTTTTTTAAGTGAAGTGTGTAAGAAGTTCTAACCGGTAAAAATGGCTAATCCACAAGAACCTCTACCACCAGTTCCAGAACCAACAGTGGAAGAGCAACTGAGGGAGCAAATCCATCAGTTGACAAGTAATCAAAACGAACTGATTAACACAATCAGGCAAATGAAAGAGAAGGCCGACGATCCGTTCCTTGCATTCAGGACGCCGGACCCAATCAAAAACCTGCCTAACTTTAGCGGGAATCGGAAAGAAACCTTAGCTTAGTTAGAAGATACAGAGAACACGTTAAAACTGTTCGAAATGTATCATGGGACACCAATGTTCCAACAAATATTGCGAGCCGCAAAAAATAAAATTACCGGCGAAGCAAAAGAACTTTTGATAGCAGCGGGCAATCCAAATGATTGGCCATCCATTGAGGAAATTCTACTGAATTCCTATGGTGACCGCAGGGATTTAACGTCTCACATTCAATCCCTCTTCTATATCCGACAAGGGAAGAAGAATCTGACCGATTATTATAATAAAGTAAAAGCTATAGACACCGCAATAAAATCCACAGCAGCAGCTATGGATGACTACAAGCACTCGACAAGGGCTATAAACAGTTTTATCGGCCTTATGTCTTTGACTAGGTTCATTGACGGGCTAGATGATCAAATTTCCATGCACGTCAGAAGTTACAGGCCTCAGTCGCTGGAGGAAGCATACACTATAACGATGCAATACTCCAACGCTGCATACAGGCAGAAATTTGATCGACCAACCACCTCAGGCACTTACCCACAACCTGAGAATAAATTTAAAACGCAAAAATTTAATGAAAACGGCACCAAACAGAACACCGCAAATCAGTTGCCGACAAATTCAAATAAACCATTTCCACCCACTCAAGTAGCTCCGAATAATAGAAGCTACTCGGATAAATTTAGGTCGCAAAACAATTCAGGAAAATTTAAACAAAACCAAAAAGGTTTAGATGAAGACGCGTCAATGCGATCGCATGTTTCAAAAATGCAGATCAACGCACATGAGGAAAACATCGAACCAGAACCTGACACTTCAAGTCAGCTGGACGATTCAACTCTGGAGTCGGACGACGATGACTACTTCGTCGACGACGAGATAAATTTTCACGTGGAAGAAGTAACGGGAATAAGAAGTTGAAGGATAACAACTTCATTCCCTATATAACAATAAAAACATCGAAAGGGGAGATGAAATTTTTAATTGACACTGGAGCGAATAAAATTATATTCCGCCAGAACATGTCAACATTCAAAACTGCAAAGCAGAAACTGGAATTAAGGTTACCAATTTAACTGGAACCTATACTATACACAAGTCAGCTTCATTTGATCCATTTCAAGTGAACAAGAAGCTGAAATTTTATATTTTCAAGTTCCACAATTTTTTTGATGGACTTATTGGGTATGAGTCGTTACGAGACTTAAATGCTCAAATTGATATTGGAGAAAAACTCTCTAAAAATAGGGAGAAAAACCATTCAAATGAAAAAAGAAATTTCCTGAAAACCACAAAATTAATTTAACTGAACATGAGTACCAATTCATAAAAGTTAAAACAAAGAAAAATTGAGATTTTTGTGTAGAGGAAGAAAAGCCTCATTCAAATTTCACAGTTCTACCTGGCCTCTACACACGAACAACATAGCTTTTGTAGCAGTACAGAATCACTCGAAAGCTCCATTGGAAATTAACTCAAATGAGATCGAAATTGGAAACGATCTATTTGAAAAAGTAGATACCAACTGTAAACCAGCCCAAAATATTGAAAATGACCCGTTCGACTTGACCGAGCTACCTCAACAAGTCGACCCTACGAATTATACATTTCGAGACGATCACATGAACGAAGAAGAGAAACATGCTCTCAAAAAAGTGATCAAGCAATATAGAGATGTGTTGTATGTGGAAACGGACAAACTCACGTTTACCCATAAAATTAAACAAAAAATACGCACGGTTGACAACATTCCTATACACTCAAAATCATACAAATACCCCTACGTGTATGAAAAAGAGGTACAGGAACAAGTAAAAAAAATCCTGGCGGATGGAATTATAAGGGAATCAATTTCTCCATACACATCACCTGTATGGGTAGTTCCCAAGAAATCTGATGCGTCTGGTCGAAAGAAATTTCGTTTAGTAATCGATTATCGAAAGCTAAACGAAAAAACGATCAATGACAAGTACCCCATCCCAGAAATTACAGATATTCTGGATAAATTGGGAAGGGCGAAATACTTCTCAACCATCGACTTGGTTTCTGGATTCCACCAAATTCAATTGGCGGAAGAAGATACGGAGAAAACGGCTTTTTCTGTGAATGGCGGAAAATACGAATTCACTCGTATGCCATTTGGATTGAAAAATGCACCGGCTACTTTCCAGAGAGTCATGGATTGTATTTTAAGAGATCTGGTTGGAGTATGCTGTTTCGTTTACATGGACGATATCATCATATTCTCCAGTTCCCTACAAGAGCATATGAAAAATCTAGCTCAAGTTTTAAAAAGACTTCAAGACGCTAGGCTGAAAATCCAGTTGGATAAGTGCGAATTCTTCAGAAAAGAAACGCAATTTTTAGGGCATACTGTCTCTGAAGACGGAGTACGACCCAATAGCGACAAAATTAAAGTTATCAAGCAATGGCCAATCCCAAAATCTGAGAAGGAAGTTCGACAGTTCCTAGGAATTTTAGGATACTATAGGCGATTCATCAAAGACTTCGCGAAAATAGTTAAGCCATTGACAGGTCTTTTAAGGAAAGACACCGAATTTAGAATAACACCCGAAATCGAGACATGCTTCGAAAAATGTAAGCAACTCTTAACGTTAGATCCAGTGTTAATATACCCGGATTTTAGCAAAGAGTTTATATTGACAACCGATGCAAGCGACTATGCAATAGGCGCAGTACTGTCACAAGGGATTGTAGGCAAAGACAGACCTATCGCATATGCTTCGCGAACACTTACTCAAACAGAGGAACGTTATTCTGCTACAGAAAAAGAATTTTTAGCTATCGTATGGGCGGTTAAGCACTTTAGACCGTACCTCTACGGTAGAAGGTTTAAGATGTTCACAGATCATCAACCATTAACCTTTTCGTTCACTGATGCAAAATATCGAATGATTAGAGGAAAACTTGCATTGGAGGAATTCGATTACGAGTTGATTTATAAGCCCGGTAAACAAAATGTGGTTGCCGACGCTTTATCCCGAATAAATCCAAATCAGGAAGTTAATACGAATTCCCAATCATCATTAGAGGTTGAACCTTCGGAACAAGGAAATGAACCGTCAGAAGATGAAAGCGGTGACATGACAGTACACTCAGCGGATACAAGTGATGATTACTTTATCCCATGTACTGAGAGACCGATTAACCTATTTAGAAACCAGATCATTTTTAAAATCGGAAACATAGAAATTACGGCATATGAGCAAATTTTCCCCAAATTTCACAGACACACCATAGTCAGAAAGGAATACACCGAGGAAGAAATAGTAGAAATTTTCAAACAAACCCTCGATCCAAGAGGTGTAAACTGCCTCAAGGTCCCCATAGCATTAATTTAACTTATACAAGAAGCCTATAAAAAGCACTTTTCTTTAAACAAAGTTTACAAGATATTCAGAAACCATATTAGAGGACGTGAGACTGGATGAGCAGCAAGACGAAATCGTTAGAGACACTCACAACTATGGACACAGAGGAATCAAGGAAAACAAAATCCAAATTTTACAAAAATACTTTTTCCCCCAACTCGAACGAAAGATCAAAATTTTTAACGACTCCTGCGATATTTGCAAAAAAGCCAAATATGACAGGAAGCCGAAAAAGTATATTCGGAGAAAATCCTTTCGACTGAGTTCACATTGACATTTTTTTTCTAAAAGGTCAAAAGTGGCTTACTATAGTCGACTCTTTTTCAAAATTCGCAAATGTGATTCCTTTACAGTCCAGGACCATAATTGACATAAAAAACGCAATAACGGAACACATACGTCAATTTGGCAGACCAAAAACTATAGTAGGTGACCAAGAGCCATCTTTCAGGTCTATAGATTTTATCGGATTTTTAAACGATCTCGGGATCGAAATTCATTTTGCTAGTAATTCGGAATCTAACGGTATAGTGGAACGGTTCCACTCGACGTTAATTGAAATCTTTAGAACAACAAAATCAAAATTCAATAACTTAACTACAATAGAACATATCAATATTGCCGTTGATATTTACAACAATACCTTCCACCAAGCAACCAAAAAGCAACCACGTAACTTAATATTCAACAATTCCGGAACAACAAATATGGCAGAAATTTTGGAAAAATTTAAAGATCTCCAATCGGCAGTAAAAGTTGAACTCCTCAAAAGAAAAGCTAAATACGAGGAACAACACAAAAATAATGAAATACCTAAATCTCTCAACCCCGGTGACAATAAATACATAAAAAACTCCCAAAGACTAACAAAAGACAAAGATCCATACAAAATTATAACTATTAAAAACGATAATGACCTTACATTCCGTGACATTAATGACATCAAAATACATAAAAATCGCATTAAAAATTAAATATGAATAACACTATAAAACTTTAATATCCCATTCCAGACTAATATCACTCACTTCTGCAACAATTTATTACATTAGCAACCACAATGGTCTAATAACAATTAATCTAGACAAAGTTAGAATCAACAGGATATCATAAATAGAATTTTGCACAAAGTCGATCTAGAAGAGATAAAATCAAATTTATTATACATTGAAAACATTAGCAATTGATTGAATTTAACAGACCATTTGACTGATACATTTTTATATAAACTCAAAATTACAAAAAACAAATTGAACAGTTTGTATCCCAGAAGACACAAAAGAGGTTTGATAAATGCATTAGGAAGTGTGATTAAATTTGTTGCAGGAAACCCAGACCAAGATGACATTGAACTCATACAGCATAACTTAGGAAACATTCAATTTGCAGAAAATCACATTATAAAAAATCAAAATAAACAGATTAAAATTAACAATGAATTGCAAAAAACAGTAAACAAAGTGTCAATTACAGTAGCTAAAATAGTCAAACAATTAAGAACAAATAGTGGAAATATTAGGAAAGATGTTGAAGAAATTAACTTAATTCTGAATTTGGATATAATAATACAAACACTAGAAGACATAGAAGAGCAGTTTATATTTTCAAAATCAAATATTTTAAACAAAAATATCTTATCATCCGCAGATAAAGATTACATTATTGAATTTTTCAAAAATCAAGGAATTAAACTTCATTTCGAGGACCAAATTTTCAAATTTGTTAATTGCATTGCAATACTCAAAGATGATCATGTAGAAAACGAGGAGTATGACTTAATACAATTAGAGACGACCAACATTAATAGAAGAAGAATCAACTTGGATACTCAATACGTAGCCAAATACAAGAAGTTCATCTACAAGCAGAGCGACAAATGCGTTTTATGCGACAACACTCACAAACTTAACGATGGGTTCGTCTACAACATACTTACCAACCAAGCAGCCACGTGCAACATGTCCAAAGATAACAACCAAATCATAATTAGAGATATCACTCCAGGCATCATACTACTGGACAGCAGAAGAGGTGTCCACGTATTAGACTCCTGCGGAGACGACCGAATCATAGAAGCCCCTACAATCATAGAAACTGAAAACTGCACGGTAAAAATCCTAAACCAAACATTTTTACAAAATTTTCAAACCACATCGAGTCCCGAGTTTTCTACACCGATCTTCGGGAAGCAAAAGAAACCGAACAATCATCCCCCAAGCATGGAAGAAATCCACCAAGTGAATTTGGAAAACCTGGAAGAACTCACAAGGATTCGATTGCAGCTTTTCAAATCACAAACGATTGGAGGATTCGCCATTGCCTCCATAACCATTTTTCTTTTGATTGTAGTCTCCACATCTCCACAGATATCGAAAGCATTGTCGTGGTAAATCATCAAGTACCTACCAAGACCAA